TCCCGCATCCATATCCCACATCCATATCCCACATCCATACCCCACATCCATATCCCACACCCATATCCCACACCTATATCCCACATCCATATCCCATAACCATGCCCCACATCCATGCCCCGCATCCATATCCCACATCCATATCCCACACCCATCTCCCACATCCATCTCCCACATCCATATCCTTATCCCTTATCCCACATCCGTACCCTCATCCCACATCCATATCCCCCATCCATATCCCACACCCCTATCCATATTCCACAGCAATATCCCGGACCCATGTCCCACATCCATATCCCCCACCCATATCCCACACCCATGCCCCACATCCACATCCGTACCCATGTCCACACCCATACCCGTAGCCGTATCCGTATCCATATCCGCATCCCTATCCATACCCATAGTCACCCAACACCAACGCGCAGCACTTTTTTCATTTTTGAGGATGTTTAAGACGCGCGCTTTTTTCTGTGTTCTTTCGTCGCTGAGTAGTTTTTTCTATTTTTCATACCTCAAGCCTTTTTTAACGTCTAGAAAGATAGCAGAAACCTCGAGCGAAGCCCCAAAAGTCTAGTTGTACTACTTTCTGATTCTAAGGATACTCCACTGCTCAAAAGTGATGACACATACTCCTGATACAATTAATTTGTAAAATTCGTCATGCTCTACTTTCGTTGAAAAAAATTTAGGCTTAACAAACTGTTGACTGAAAGCATCTCGTCCATCTTCCCTGGTATTTGTTTCCGATAAACGGAGCGCGTCCACCGATTGAAAAGCCAAGTTCGGTACTGTGTTGGATTGCCACAAAGTATTTCTTATAGTGTGTAGGCGCAATCGTGCCTATTCGTGAAAAGTTGCTTTGAGAATTTTTCTAATTTAAATTGCTCGCCGCCATCTGGTTCGTAGCGCGGCCACGGAAGTTTATCTTTCAGGCCAACAACCTTGGTAGCCCACAACGGGTCGGACTGCTTCACGAGTTGTACTTAAAAGGACTTCTTCGGGAACTGCCGATGAGAATATCGTCCAACTTGATGTCACCCCATTGCCTTGCTGCTCACATCCAGCTATCAATTTCGCAACATTATTTTGAGCACTGTTTACAAGCACAGTATTGACATTTTGACCGGGTAAAATTCGGCTGAACGCCAGGTAGTTCTCGCGGAGATCCGACGTAGACGAAGCGGCAAAAGCCGCAGAAGTTCCGTTGTTGAGAATATTCGAAGAACGGACGCCGGATGCGGAACTAAGTACTGTCGGCACGCCTTCTACCCAGAACCATGCTTGCATGTCGCTCTTACTCTCGGACTCCGGGCTCCGGTAGAGGCCTACCCAGACCCGGAGAAACGGGTCTTTGGATCGAATGTTAGGGACTTGCTGCTGCCAAACGACTTCTTCATAGACTCGAACCCTTTTTTCTTGTCTACCGCCATGCGCCACAGGAAATCGTTGTTTTCCCGTACGACTGTAGCTGCAGTAGCATTAAACCGCTCACCGATCTGTGTCTCGCACGTGAGAAAGGGCCCGCCAAACTCGGAGTCCTCTTCTTCCTGCCCACTCGCAAGAGTCGTGGCAAGGTCTGTGGAAGTTGACGACCCTGGTGCAACAATATTTGCTGAAACAGGTTCGTCATCGTCGGCCGTGAAATATTTGTAGCAACGACGAGTAGGTGCGTGGTAGTGCCAACTCAAATCAGGACAAGATGCGAACGACGTCGAGGAGGACATCTTTTTCTTTGTCTGTGTCTGTCTTTGTAAATGAAAATGATTACCAGAAGCATTCTTGATGGCAATTCGTATCCGTATCGGAGATCAAGAAATAATTAAGGTGATAAAGAAAAATAGCGCGCGTCCAGTAATTCATGATGACTATCTCTGATCACACTTCATGTTCATCTCGTTCGCAAGGCACAACAAAATGGAGTCATGTCAGATACAAAACTGAAAACGTGAATCCAAGACGAGTGAGCGTGATTAGCCGTAGAAAAAAATCTTCATTGTAGTTGCATAGGCATAGACAGCTTGTAATAAAGCTGTCTTCGTACAGGCATCCTTCATCAATTATGGTTGGTTGGACATAGGTGGAAAAACCCAGCATCATCTGCAGATATATCCGATGGGAATTTGTCGCGAATGGACGTAAATCATGGGAACAGGCTAGAAGTAGGTCGAAGCAACGGGGTGGAAAACGCTTTCTGGGAACGAACAGGGAATGCATCTCCTTCAGTGTCCACAGCGAGTTGCAAATTTTTAACCGAAGGAAGAAAGAACAATCCTCCTCAACTCTCCTCAGGCGTCCGCGAAAGGCTATTGTTGAGCAGAGTAGTTCGACACACAGATGCAGATGCACAAAGCAAGATCAACTACTACATTCATAGAAACTACCCAGTGCTAGTCCATCGCGATGAATGAAAACAAAACTTTTCAAAAATCATCATAAAGTGGATTGACCGCAATTTTTCGCTTCTCTCACTCGTACCTCTTCCATATCGTGCGTCGCTCGCGTACGCCCTACGCTTACCTCCGACTGAGATATACAAGAACCGAAGTGATGGAGGATGTAGAGAAACTCAGAATTATGTCTAGGAAGAACAACGCAGAGAGTACCGACGCAAACTGTCCAATTGGTTTATTGCCCATCTTCATTTTCATATTGTTCTGCAGAGACAAAAATGTTCCAAACAAACTCGTAGTTCTAGACTCTTTCGCAACTACCACAACATGCTTGCGCGACATGCTTCCTAATTTCGTTTTCGTACGTCAAGCAAAGTCAACAAAACTAGCAATGCTTCAACTACACCACATTGGTGTTACATCTCAACTCGGCCTGTTGTATCAAGCTTTCTAGCCCTGCTTGCTTCATTCATCATTCATGTAGATGCGACATAAAAAAAGACGCTGACCACGACATAAAAGTAGAAAATTGGTGGAGGAAGTGATTCTGGTTCATCATCATTTTTCGGACATTGTTAGTGAGCGCGAGTTCATTAGACTCTTGAATTTTTGAAGATTTGACAGGCCATATAACTGTATTTTTCGATGGTCAAGCTTCAACTTTCGTCTCGTTTCGCTCACGTACGCTTTACAAAATGACAAAAATCAACTACCGATTCTTGCTTGCTTCATGATGGTAATCACATTTATTAAACAATATGAATATTCCGTATGTATGCGGTGTCCAAAATGTCTGCGATCCCGATCGCGATCTCGCATGTGTATGATAAATCACTGCTATGCACCACGTAAGAGCAGCGAGAAAAAATGCGAAGAATCACGTTTAGAAGATATTTCAATTTCATCAAACATAGAAACGTAATTAACAGGTATGAGAAACAATTACTTCCGTGAAATATTAGTCCACAAAAGGTCTTTCTTGAATTTGTCGCTTTGAGCTCGCTTCTCTCCGATTCCTGCTCGGTGCGCAGTCAGCAAGGGCGTAACTAACGTGTGGCCGAAGTCGCGATCCCTTCTGCTCGTAGCATGGCTTCTCGGTAAGACATGAGGTGCAGCTAAATCGATAGTGTAGGGCGGTACTTCATCATCGTCCTGCGATGTCGTGTCCACTGAACGCGCTCCGAAGTACGTTGATCCAGAGTCAGCAGACATACTCCGTCCACAAGGCAGAACGACTTGCGACATGCCGATAGCGGTACTAGCAAAAGCTCCCATTGTACTACGATCATCATGAAAGTTCGCCGGTGGACTATCAATCGAACTCGATGTACTGGTTCTGGTTGCTGGAGGTGGCATCACATTCGCATTTGCTTCTGATGTTATCATAGAAGCAGGACTTGTTGTCCTCTCATTGCTTCCATCTATCGAAGAAGAGGCTCTACTGCTCCCAAACTTGGTAGATGAAGCAAAATCTGTGACCACCGCTTGCTGCGCTGAGTGCGCTTGATGTGGACGTGCTGCTTGATGTTTATTGATTTTTTCGATCTCAGTCTTCCTCTGCGCTTCTACAACTCTAGTAGAGGATTCTGACTTATTGGTCTGCGGGGATCGTGTTGTCGTGTCCACTCCGACAACTGCTATTCTTGAAGGGTACATCAGTTCTTCTGCAGCAACAGAAGACCGTGTGTCTGTGGGTATCCTGAGGGCCGCAGGAGGACTTGTACCCGACTTATCTCCCTCCTCATTTATGGAAGAGTACATCGACATTGATCTTCTAGATATTGCACTTCTTGTCGCAGCACTCTCGGTCTTGCTGGATGAACCGGAAGACGTCTTTTGCGCCGTCCCAGAATGATCCGCGGGATGATTTTTCTTTCGGTCCCCTACGACGACGGATGAAGACGACTCACGTTCACTAGGAGCAGGAGGACTCCGACTCGAACTGGAAGACGCTGTCCGTGTCGTAGATGCAGCAGTAGAGAACGGGATAATATGATCTTCGCGGAGGACCTCCATCTCGTCGTGCTGTTGTTCGTTGTTCTCGAGAAGATCGAGGCGAACTAACGGCCTTATAGCCTGGGGCTGACTGCGGCAATGCATGCATGCGAATTTAACATGATTGCCCTCTGCGCAAGACGCTTGCATGTACTTTATTGCGCACGTTTTACAAACTAAGTGGCGACAGGGCTCCAGCATACAGGCATGTCCTTGCTCGTTTCCGTAAATGGCTGGCCGCCCAGTCTGTCCCAGAATCCGCCCCCTGACTTCACCCGGCACTCTCCCCGTGGCCGCAGGGTCCTCCGACTGCAGAAGGAAGGGTCGCCGAGTCGCCACGAGCGGACTTCGAATAGAAAAGAAATGGTCACTGAGTCCCCTAATAATCTTCTTCATTTTGTGGTCGACAAGCTCCACTTGACTTTCTGACACGGCCGATCGGCCGCGTTGCTCCGGAGCAGGAAAATGATCCCCTGCTGCAGACTGGTCGTGCAGAAAATGTTCTTCACTATCTTCCTCTTCCTCGACATCAGACGGCGAACTGGGAGCCCGATGAGCTCCTACGTGTCCTATATCCTCGTCGTGTGATGCACCAGAAGACCACAAAGGAGCTGCTGTCATGATAGAAGAGCTACCCCCAGGGGACGAAAACGACGATAACGGGGACGTCGCTCGTCCCCGGCTCCGTGAAAGCAAAGCCTCTCGACCACAGCAACCCACGCCAACACCTGTCGAAGCATTGCTCGAGGAGGAAGAGGAACTGGAGGCTTCTCCTTGTTCCACCAGTACAAAGACCCTTTCTTGGCGCCGTTCACCTTCATCGTAGTGAGGATCGTGCAGCTCCATGCGCTCAAGTCCAACCTCGCTCCCAGCAGTCACGACACCATACGGCTCTTGCAAATACTTTTCGTCTGCTTTCGCTAACTCAGTTTTGCTCATCGTCATCTTACCGGTTGGGCGTAAGTTCTTATCTTGGTCTTTACAACATTTACGGTTTCTCGCAGGCGTTTCGAATGATACATTGGGGTGGTTCGGTGCTGTCGAAGACCCTGGACGTGCGCCTGTACACGAAGATATTGAAGGCGGCGCTAAATGACCCAGTGCCGTTATGCAGGAGGCCCTGTTCGTTGTACTTCTATTTGTTACAGAATCAATCCTACGAGGACGAGGAGGTAGGCACACTTTTATGGGGTGAAAATTGAACTCTTCACAGCAAGCAGCACACTCCTCCGTATCGCCGGCAAAGATCTGTCCTGGCTCTTGCGGTGGACAACTATCAACGCCGTGACGAATGAAATGTCGCAGGCTAGTTGCAGAAAGCAGACGGAGCTTTTTAGCTCCTTCTCCTTCTCGTTGCACATTCAAAGTGCTTGTCTGAGGAGAAGACGCGGTGGAGACCATCTCCTCCACTGGTGCCACGACTCCTGCATTTACTGCTGCAACTTGACCACCTCCAGAAGTAGCGCCACCCAATAATACTGTATCTTCAGAAGAGGATGCTGACGCTGCACTTGCGTGTTGTGAAGAAGTAGAAGATGCTACTTGATGTGAGGTCGTAAAGCAACAGACCACAGCCGCCGCATCATGATGGACCACAAGGTCCCTGCTGTCAGGACAGAAGAAAACGCGCTTAAGATGATAGGTGTCATCGCGGGGATCCAAGGTATAACAACAACTTTGACGGCCATCCGAGTCCTCGCTTTCTGTCGCTGGCTGCGCGCAAGCGTAGGCGGCCTTGCCAGTGCGAACCGCTCCACCGGTGATTGTGAGACAAAGAAAAGGAATCATTGCCTCGACTGGTGCTGACGTGGACAACGCAGCAATAGGCCGCACGGCCGCAAATGGCGAAGGCCAGAATGACAGCGCCAAGACGAAGTGAAAGCATCAAGTAACTGTGAACTGACTTTTTCAAATTTTCATCTTGCATTTACCATATTAAATCGTGCTATAACAAGGTTGTAAAGGCAGGACGTGTATCTCCTTGCATTCTTTGTGTTTTTCTTACACATAGGAACCAAGTATTCAGCACAATACTACGCAGAGACAGAGTGAACCTTAAAGTTAAAGCATGTTTGGAGTGTTCGGGGGGTCTATGTTCGACTACGACTTGCTCTGATTCTAGAACTACTTCATAACGAGTGCGACTTGCTCTGAAGATTCTACTTCAAGTTCATCTACTTCTACTACTACTTCTAGTAGTAGTTTCCATAATAAGAGGCTGCTACTTCGACAAAACTTAGGTAAAAACAACATTCGGCCAGCCCATCGAAGCCAGCGCCTTCACGATTGAGGATAGTGCACAAACGGCACCCACAGACGTCAATCCACTCATACGGACTGGTCCAATAACTGCAGTCGCGGCTTCTGGTCGTACTTAGAGCAACAGCGATCCTAGACTAAGACTACAGATACCGTGCTTGAAGTAGTTCATCTTGTAGACATTTTTCAACATCTTCAAGTCCAAGAAGTGCAAGTGTCTCTGTCCGCGAAAGAAATCTATGATCCACCGACAGTCGAAGTCAATTTGTATCGAGAGAAGTATCATATCTCTTGATCGCCCGATCCTCGACGACATTCGCGTGTTTGCTCTCGAGGGCGATAGTGCGCGTTTTGGGACGCTTCTTGGTCAACGCAGATTGTCAGATACGTAGGATCGATACTAGGCACAGGCGGTATTCGCGGTCCTGGAAGACAGCACATTACGCGGCAACCTTCACTTGGGGTCCGCAGTCGTGCATTGGCAACATCCACTACGGATGTTGACAGCAAAAGTAGCGCATAGAAGAAATTTTTAGAGCCACCTCGTAGCTAAGAAGTACTTTCATCTACTCATCGTTGTTGTGTTCACCAAACTAGTGAAGATGGTTCCGTTGCGCCGCGCTCCCCGTTGACATTGTTCTGCTCTTAGAAAATTATATACCATAGGCATAGGTATCCCTCCTCAAAAACGAAAGGTGATTATACGCTCAAAAACACCATCCACCATAAAAACCAACCAGTGTCGGCCTCCTCGGCAAGGAGCCAGCATTCTTGCTGCACGAGTATTGGTTTTCGCGTCAAGTCAGAAAAGCTTCATCCTCATCATTTTCACACCTTCGCAAGGAAATAAAAGGAAGATACTTGTTCAAGTTCAACGTGGTACTGGTAGACCTCAATTACTTAAAAAACCGTGTAAACTGTGCATTCATTGCACTCTTTATCCATCGTCAGAGTGAGACAAAGTTCTAACAAAAAATAACAAAGAGTGCAGGAGATGTGGGGGTGAAGGTTCTCTCCACACTCCTGCACTCACGAGATAATGAGGCCAACACCTTCCGATACCTGTGATCCAACTGGCAAACAGATGAGAGGCACGCCGCACGTTACGCACCACTCAAGTGCTGGATCATCATCCCTGAAAAGTGAGACGCTTGCAAGATCTCTGGTAGCGAGGGCTCTGTTATTTTCAAAACGTAAGTAGGGCACCTCTTAAAACATGAGTTGATGGTTGTTCATGTTCATCTGCGAACCTTATAAAAATCCTATTATGACTGAAGTGGGGCGACTAGTCAGTGTGGGGCTCACTGCAACGCAGCAGACACTGGGACGGGACCAGCGATAAGGGGTGAAGGTTTGGAATATTCGTTGCGTCTGCGACGTGTCTTCTAATGCAGAAAAAGCTATGTATGTGAATAATCATACGAAGATAAAACTAAAACTAAAAGTCTTCAGCTCGTTGTCAATCATTCTTTTTACATGATCCTCATCCTCGCTTAGAAAACGATTTGAGTCGCGACATGCTAAAAGTCGCAGATCTTGTGATGAGTCACAATTTCAGAGACGTCGCTCAAAGATCCTGTGACCTACTTTACTTTCTAGTTGGTAACTTTTCCATTGCACCAGTGCGTTTTCTACTTGATAATGAGTAGCTTCATCAAGAATAGGATTAGGAGCATGAGGATTGTCCTTTGTTATTCATTGTGGTAGAAGCCCTAACTAGGATGAAAACAAGAAACACGAAAAAGTTATTTATCAGTATTTCTTTCCCGAAAGGACCCCCTTCTGTCCACTGTGCCCCATGCTCATGCTCATCATTCCCTGTTGCACGTTCGCAAATTGATTAAATTGCATCCCAGGAGCCTGCATCATCTGTCCCTGCTGTTGTTCTTGTAGCAATTGCTGCTGTTGCTGCTGAAAAATTAGAGTAGACGAGTCTTCATTCCCATCGATACTGAAAAATTAGAGTAGATGAATAAATATTACCGTAGTTCATGTCATTGCCGAGGCCTAGGTTTTACCTCGGGATCGCTGATAACAAGATGAATCGTATCTATTCGTCCTAGATAGAACAATGTAAAACGAAAAGGAAATGTCCTATGGAAAATGTCATGTGCCGCGACAATCGACGCCCAAGAGATTGTCATTTCTCCAACGTCCAAGCAAAGAAAAGGAATTGTCGGCTTCGGCTACTTAAACTCATAATTGAAGTTGCTGCTGTTGCTGGAGAAACTGCTGCTGTTGTTGCTGCTGCTGCTGCTGCTGCTGTGCATTGAAGTTTTGCGGTGTCGGAGTACCGCCTAGCTGCTGACCTGGGAACATCCGAGACTCCTGCGCCGGCATGCCGCCTCCAGGATGTTGATGCGGTGTGGAGTTCATGTGTGGAAACATGGCACTTTGCTGCTGTTGTACGTTGTTCTGCGCAAAGTTTTGCTGTTGCTGCTGCTGCTGCATCTGTTGCTGCTGCATCTGTTGCGGCTGCATCTGTTGCGGCTGCGGCATGCCCTGAAGTTGCTGTTGCTGAAAGGAATTTTGCTGCTGTGGTTGTTGAAAGTTTTGTTGCATTTGAAAGCTCTGCATATCCTGTTGGGACTGGTGCATTTGCTGTTGTTGATTGAATTGCTGGCCGCCAGGACCGGGCATGGTCCCCATTTGATGTTGGGGGGCCCCCATTTGTTGGCCCATTTGTTGCCCACTTGCGCCGCTGGCGACACTCTGATTCAAGATCCCGCTGTTGTTCATCCCACTCTGTTCAAGATTCCCGCTGCCAGGCTGTTGCATTTGTGGGTTGTTCTGTGCTTGCTCGAGCGCATTGAAACGCTGTAATTGCGCCATCACACTGCTCTGGTCCCGCTCTTTCATTTCGAAGTCGCCACCTCCCTTCATCTTACCTCCACCGCCTTTTTTACCACCTCCACCCTTTTTACCTCCACCACCATTATTGTAATTATTATTGTAGTTATTGTTGTAATTGTCTGAGGACTTGCCGCCATGATTATAGTCGGACGGTTTGCTCCCTCCGTAGTAGGAGTTGCCTCCACCGCCCTTTTTAACGCCGCCATCCTTGTAGTTCTGTGGGTAGCCACCACCGCCGCCATCTTGATTGTTGTAACCACCGTAGGAGCCCCCGTCTTGCTTGCCGTAGCCGCCGTAATCCTGCTTTCCGCCCCCTCCTCCGTAGTTCCCATTGTTGTAGCCACTTCCTCCGTCTTTGCTGCCCGACTTGCGGATGCCATAGTCCTTTGATGATCTCTGCTGGTTGCTCCCTCCATATCCATTAGAGCCACCATAGCCATCACCTCCGCCGTTGTATCCGTTCGTACCGTACTGCTGCTCTCCGCCACCTTGATGCTGATTTTCATTAGCGGTCGTTCCACTAGTATAATTGCATTCCTCACCAGCAGAGCATCCCTGCCTTTTTTTCTTTCGCAAGAATAGAAAAGTAAAGTCAAGGATGTTTGTACGTTGGACACGATGCAATCTGGAAAATGCTAAGAGCCTTAATGTTATTGTATCCACCTCCACCAAACTTCCCATTGTTCTTGCCGTTCATCTTACCATGATCACTCATCTTGCTATACTGCCCTCCACCCGATGAGTTGTTCATATTTCCACCTCCTCCTCCATATTGATGCTGACCACCAGGCTGAGGACCGCCTTGATGATGTTGATTTCCTCCACCTTGATGTTGTTCATTATAGTGTTGATTACCTCCACCAGCGTGATGGTAAGCACCACCTCCTCCGTGCTGACCACCGTGTTGTTGCCCATGTTGTCCTCCTGAGCCAGTTTCTATCCAATTGCCGTATTCATCGTAGTAGCCAGTCTGCTCGACTTCTTAGAGAAGAACTTAATACAGCAAATGATATTATTCGTCTAGTAGAATGTACAACTATGTTCTTCTAGAATGTATGCCCTTAGATGGTCTACGGCATGAAAAATATAGAAGCATCTCTGACGCCCTCTTTTTCTCTTGAAAAAGGAACCAAAAAAGTATGTATGTGTCTCGCACTTACTACGTACATCTAAGATGAACTTTGGGTAGTATCAAGCCATAAATCTCGTAGGCCTCATAAGCGGCGAGAGCCTTTTCCTCTTCGTCAACCATCTCCCAGAACTCCGCATCTGATTGAGCTGGCGCATCAATAGAAACCTCGGTGATGACCCGATTCTTCGCCATACCCGCAGAATAAGGCTGGAACTCAGGCGGCTTCACATCATTCGGCAAGCGGTTCAAGGCTGTTGACATTTTATGTCCGTTGATGTGGAGGATTTATCAGGGTCAGATTGAGATTCTTGATCAACATCGTATCTATACGTATGTCCTGCTACTAAACTTAATAGTAATAACTTCGGCAAAGTACTAGTACATGTGTTCATCATCAATATAGAAATGCACATCGACTTGATCAATCCTAGAGATCGTCATACCTATTTTTCATCTTCTTGCTCCGAAGGTAGTGCAGTTCTTTGTACTAGTAACTAAGACGAAAATGACAGTAAGACAATGTCCTTACTCAATACCTTTCCTCTCAGAAAGAGGCATGGTTGTGAGCCACAAGATTTTCTCTGGTGCGTTCAAGTACGCCTCGTGCTGCTGGAGCAATCGCTCCACTTTTCCGCCTAGAATACTGCAATTTCTTGGTGTCAAATACATAAAACCCTTCTTCACATGGACCTGTTTACGTTTAGTAGATTATCAACAAAAATTACATAATCGAATTCGTGAGATTTCTGGTAACAAAAGGCTATTTCCAACAAAAGGGAAATAGGAGCGATAAGATGCGTAGTCTACGCTTACGCACCACTCCACAACTACAACTAGAGTTTCACCACATTGTGAAGAATTTCATAGGTGTTATACCGTTCCCTTCAGCAAGAGCTTTACACCTGGCAGGACGCGCTTGAAGTCAAGGCCAATCGGTTTCAAAGATTCGAACTCAATCGCTTGAAATACTTGCCCTCGCGCATCAGAAAGATGCAGGCACCAACTAGAGAAGGTCTTAAAATATCCCTGATACCCGGCACACGTAGCAGAGGGATGGCATAAATTCGTCATTTTCATGACCTGGTCGAGTGAAATTTAGGTGGAGAACAAAAAGTAAGGTCCATCAGCCGAGCTTAGTACTCACGATAGCATTCGCATTGCCCTCTCACGTAGACATTGTAGTAGACCATAGTTAGATCTGCGTATAATTTCAAAGTACACCACCTAGTAGTGAGTAAAAAAGTGCTCCAGATAATGACAATTCACTATATTACCTGCACAAAATGCAAGCCATTAATCGTTGCAGACTCTGTTTCCTTGATTTTTTCCGGCAACGTTGGATGCGCCTTCAAGTTCCGGATGTCGGTGTTGAGTACATAATTTCGAAGGTCCTTGAGATCTTCGTCAGCCACCTCTGAGAGATCAACACTCCAATCCGGCACACGGGCCACCACAGGCGTTGGCAACATCACAGTCATTTTTATCTATCTGCTCTGTGTTTATTCTATTACTGTTAATAAGGCGAAAGGTGATGAACAAAGTTTTAGATAGTAGTTTAGTAGATTTTTACTGACTCACCAGGAGTAGGGAGCAAGGAAAACATGGAGAATCAAAATAAAAATCATGAAACGAATCCTTTTCTACGAAAACTACACCTTACATTAACAATCTGAATCGTACTTCTATGTTGTTAACGTATTCATTCCAAAAAGAAAAGTATCAATATGCTTACACACACTACTCGAACCTACTGGAGAATTGAAAAAGGCATCCTCCGCGTTATAGCTTTCCACGCGGCTTCGTTGCCAGCTTACTGATTCTCAACAATCATGAGCATAAGAACTCCCTAGTTCGAACTACACAAGTCAGTCCGGATTATCAGAGAAGTTGAGATATTAGAAGTAGAACCTCGGCCGGGCTTGCGGATTGCTTAGTAAATGACATGTCCATCTCCATTTGTCACCATCAGTAACAGCAACTAGACAGCAGCGTGAAAGTATTAAGTTCACCATCGTCGCTACTCTCAACACATTGCTTCGCATAGAGTTGGATCGAGCAGTTGTATTTCTTGGTACAGGCTAAGAATACTGCGTGCCGGAACACAGTCCTGCAATCGAATTCACCATCGTCGACCATTACTTCGAGTCCTCACTTCGAACACTGATGTACATTTTGCATGCCAGCTACAAATCCCACAGAAATTCTTCGAAGTTCATCAGCCGACTCAAACTTCAAGAAGCTGTATCGAGAACATACATTTTTTCATTGAAAATCATATGAACAGTTTTTTGTTACTCCTTTCAATATCTTCATTGTATCTATTTATATTCGTTTTTACCATGGTGTTGGTGTGGGATCGATCCAGCTCAATTAGAAGACTATGGAGAACTATGGTATTACCTACAGAATTGGGTGATCGACATCGATGGTTTAATTTCTGAACCACGCATCTTAATGGTTTCTCGTTAGCTCAACGTAAAATTTCGTCCTCCCTACGAATCTTTAAGATAGAAGTTCTGACCCATAGATAAGAAAGTCGAAGTTCACGGCTTGATAGGATCATTGCAACCACCAACGAGGCACTCCCTCAGTTGGTTTCTAATTAATTGATGACGAGATCTAACTGAGTGACTGCTTCCTTATATATATATACCCATAAGCATCTCCATTTCGCAAAGGCGTGCTGCTCAAAACTTGAATAACTACAATATCCTCGTCCCCACTTGGATGTATAAGTGGTCAATTTACGGTGTCCTCGTTAATGTTGTTTATGTGCGGTTTTCCATGAAAAAGTCTCCTCTAGTACCAGAAGTTAGTACGACAGAAGATGACACCTTCACTTTGACCTAATAGTGAATATACCGCCTATCAAGTCATCTTCTAGAAGCCACCTGAAATTTACGTGCTGCGTTCGCCACGCAATCGCCTCGCAAGCTGCATATCCTTCGGCATGATCGTGACTCGCTTTGCGTGCAGAGCGCACAAACTGATGGAGTTCAAGGAGGGTGAGGAAAATCTTTGCAAGACACCAGGAGGGACACCAGGTAGCTACTGATGTAATTGATGTGGTAGGATGCTGTCGTCTTGAAACAGATGACAGTCACTCATTATGCTAATGCTTATCCCTTATGATGAAACATCGATTTGGTCGCGAAAAAGTAGTAGTGTTGGGCCTAGTAGAAATCATTTTGTTATCCGTAGAAAAGTACTAAGGTACTTAGTACTTTGTATCCTCAAGCAACCCAATCATGTATGCTTCACAGGCTTCCTGCAGAGCGATAAGCGCCTGCGACTGAAATCGAACGGGATGCGTCTCTCCATCCTCTTGCATCGCTCGGCACATTTCCTGAATAGAAAAGTGCGGAACATAAGAGGACGTCGATACGAATCAATTCCTAGGGGATATTTATACCATTCATAATCATAATTTCTATGGGATACATATGAGGAAACGAAAAGATAATGGAGATGATATTCGTATTGAACTTGAAGCCAATCTTAATGCAATTGCAAAACATGCTAACAAATTACCCTGACGATGCGCTGAAAAGGTGCTCGGCGAATAAGCAAATCCGTTGAATTCTGCAACTTTCGGATCTCCTGCAGTGCCTTGACACCTTCGATATTGGGCGAAAGATGTATTTCTTTTGTAATCTTTCGCGGCACGTGAAAGAACGATAATCATGGAACAAAATGAAAATCTATAAAACCAGTACACTAGTAAAATCATGTGTGCATCTCAGGTAGTTCTTCTCAACTACCAGTGAGATGAAACAGTTCGTGAAGCGGTCACGGCGCTAACCCTGAAAAAGATTATAACTTACAAAATAATCCAAGCCCTCGTGATGATTAAGTACATTGATACCTGGCTTTGCTTTTGCGCCTTTCTTGACTGCTACTGGTTGATGATTCGGTCGCGGTCGAAAGGCCGGTGCTGAACTAGAAGACGCTCGTCCTGGAGCCACTGTGGCTACACTCGTATATTTTAGAGCTTCACGCAATGCATCCCTCTAGGCGAGATCCCGCAAGAATATGCCCTCCTATTTTACCATTCCCATTGTAAGAGTCATCTAGTACTAGTGCCATCATGTCGGTTGTAGTTATTGTATCTATTGGGATGCATACCGTTGCGGGATGTCTATAGTTGTGAAGGGACTAGATGGGATGTCTCTACTTGGTGAGGGATGTCTAGGCTTGTTGAAGAATGTCTACCTCTACTTATAAGAGATGGATTATAATGGGAACAAACCGTAAATATTGGTTTGTATATTGGAAACCACCAGCTGGCGACATCATTTTCTCCATAGGGTCGAAACCCATCTTGTCCATTTGATTCGTATCGCTCAACAAGTTGCCGTCCACACCCTGATAGATGATGCGTTTTTATTAATCATTATAAGTGGTTCCCCAGATGTATGAGTATTAGTGCTGGTAAAAATCCTTTTGCTTTTCACACAGAATGAGGAGTAACAACAATTATTGATTCTTATATATAATATAATATATGTGGAGGGCGGCCCTCATGCTAGGCTGCTCCCGACAGGTATTACTCGGAGAGCTGGCCCATATGCCGCCGTACTGGAGAACAAAGAGAATGTATAACATCACTGACTATAATATTTTATAAGGGAAGAAACTGTAACTGTCCGTCAAAAATGAAAGAAGCAGTACGTAGTACGATTTAATTATTAAAGGGATATGAAGAGGAGTTCGATGTTCAAAAGATTTTGAAGGATGTACTTACATGTCAGGGTGAGGATGTATCACTCAATCATCGCCCATTCAAAGATGATAATCAAGCAGAAATATGAAAATTCTTCTTGTTACTGCAAGGTATCCCGGCATTGCCATCTTCGAGGCCTGTTTCGCATCCTTCGGTCTGTTTCCGCTTGTTTTAGTACGCGCCATCTTTACTGCTGGCCGAAAGTATGACTCTACAATATTAAGCTTTCGAGCAGAGCCAGAGAGAACAGTGAAAAGAAACGTACTTACTTCTAGTCTAACAAACTACCTGGCTGAGGTAGATTTATCAAAGAAATTTGTTCTTGTTCGACAATCTCTGTGACAAACTACTTGAAGGCAACTACTACTTGTCAGTTGTTGTAGTATGAAACTGAATATTAAAAAAGTGATGCAGTACATTCAGCAGAAATTACGAACTACTTATTCATACTGCCTCGTCACGCGACGCGATGCGATACGTCTAGAAGCTGTAAGTCTATGTCTTCTCTCTCTAGAAAAATTACGACACACGACAAAGAACTACTACATGCTTACGGGCTATCTGATGAATAGCCAAAAAAATGCTCTAACAAATATCCTCCACATGATGCGTGGTATAGCTACTTAGAGTGTAATCCTAATTATAAATATTAATATCTTCTAGAAGATAAAGTATTCTTGGGATTGATGAAATACAAGAAGGAGGTTACAAATTCGGGGGATCATTTTGGGTGAAAAAGGTAGATCGACCACATTGATGAGGAATACGTAGGGGAAACTGAAACTACCACGTCGCTCTTTCCTGCTGTTTAAATTGCGAGAGTTCACGCTTCAACGACAACCAAGCCGAGAACAAAGGAGGCGCCAGAAAAAATGCGTTTTTCTCCGAGTCGATGTCGAACGAGGAAATCCTATGTATGCATAGTACATTCATAGAAGTCAAGTACGTCTAAGACTCACAAGAACTTCTATCTCCCTACTTCGATGCTGTTGAAATGATTTATGCCAACGAAATGAAGTACGACGCGTATAATTGTAAGTACTTTGTTTCTGGTGTGCTGGCAAGCCTCTCGTTTGATTCTTGTAAAAAGTCCTCAGTTTTGTGAGATACGTCCAGTTGCTTGGAGCAGTTTTGGGAACACAGAATCAGATGAAGGCCCTTCCTAAATCAAACTTACTGAAACTGATATCTGGCATCAACCTCGTTCTTTGAATCTCATTCCATCGATCTTCGTCGACGTCGTCATTAAAAGTTAGTAAAATAAAGTAACGTGTAGGTACATCTTTAATTCAGAAAGACCACATTCTTCTGTAAAAATTCATTTTGACTGAAATATCCTTCATACTGTATGAGTATGTAGTGTTGTTGTATAAGTAATTGTTCCGAAGCTTCAGCAGGTGATCGTACGTCTGCCATTCCCAGACTTGACCACGACGGAACACAGGAGTCTGCTCAAAAGCGATGATTTTGACGAGCGGAAGCAGCTCCTTCGAAGCTGCTTGTCCAAACAAGCAACGACAACAAAATTGGCCGCAGATATTGATATACATTATAATGAAAAAATCGCTCTTGATGTTATCCATGAATGCGCAGAACGACATGTGGCCTCAAAAAGTAGCACCAAACAATTTCCAAACTTCGGTTTTTCTACTGCCCGTCGACAAGATCAGCAATACGTGGGTGAAGGTGACGAGCACGAGGTGGAGGTAGGTTCATGATCTTGATATACGAGGCGGGTAAAGTTGAAGGTGTGAGGAATTAACAGGTAATTGCCCTCATTTCTTGTTGTCAGTGAAAGAATATCTTCCCCCCGCCCTATATTTTCTATCATTCTCGCATGATTAAGTTCGGGTGAAAACTTCAAGGAATCGGCATTGATGGAATAAGAAAGAAAGCTCAGAGGACAACAAGCTCTGCTGCATAACGAATTTCAAACCATATCTGTGCATCAGTCTGGATATCAGACAGTGACGCGTGGCATTGGAGAAAAAAATGCCTTACTGGCTCGGACTCGACTCCCGATGTGAATTAATAATTTCATTGCTTGGTTAAGAAATAAAAACTACTCAAGAAAGTAGGAGCAGTTCTTGGTCTTCATAAGAGCCAGAGCAGCCGACCTTGTTCATTCTAATTAAGTACAACTACAACAACTGCAAGTTAGTACACAAAGAGCGTTTTCCTGTTGCCAAGAACAACATGAGCTCGTTGTGCGCGGGTGAATTTCTACAACAAGAATAGAAGACAGACTCGGACAGGTAAAAAGCTACGTGCTACCAGTGCAATGTAGCTAGTGTTAATGAAGGGCGGGATGAGAAAAATTACTTGCGAGTCCTTGGTTGCTATGCGCCCAATTTTGTCGTCTTGTTGCAATGGTAGCAGATTGGTAATGAAATAACGGTAAGCCGCAGTGAGGCCTCTATCTTTCTAAGCTCAACAGAGTGCTGTGATAGATGTTTGATGTTTATCGATTGATTCGGTTGATGTCGTTTATTTACCACGCTGAAATATTCTCCTACACAATGATCATTTTGATTGGAGGGCTAGTCCCTACATCATGTCATTTCATCTTTTTCCTCCTCCAGCAAAAAGAAGCACGCCAGCTATCCTTCCACACTTTTTCGTGTCAAAGCGCGTACTTTCTTCTTCCACTCTGCCGTCTTGTCTCGGTACATTACTGCCGCATCCATGTTCGCCGGACTATTCGGGTTGGGAAAATTAGAGATATGAATGATGATGATGATCATGATGATTATGATGATGATGATACTTTTTTGATAAATAGCAAATCGATTCATAGCTAGAAGATTCAATCAAGGGTATCGCGTGCTGTCCGATACAAAGAAAGATCATCAATACTAGATGACTTGTGAAGAAAATGGCCGTTCTCTTCTAAAAATAAACTTCTCTGTCCGACGAGCTCCTCTATATCGATTTTATATTCATCAACATCAACCAGCAAGTCATAAGATCCAGCAACATGGAAAGGACGGAGATAAGTATGCTCTCTACGCCCAATATGGGTCTCCATCGCTCGTCCGCTGTTTCTTGCTCATTGAACGCGTCCGTCCCTGGCGGATGCAAGATTGAGATACAGACTTTGCCATCTGGATACACGTTCGGATGAAACAACTCTGTCTCGAAGACCATCTCCGGTGGGCTATTTGGAAAGTCAGGCGGAAACGTCAGCAATGCTGTTTAAATTTTGCGATTCATGAACAAGTGCAAGCATATGCCCTCTGAAAAAGTAAAAGAATGCAAACGCTGGCTGCTCTTAAAGAATCAAGTTCGATTATTACATACGTAATAAGAATAAACTCAGACTTTTGTTCCTAGGAGTACCTGTATGTAAAGAACAAACTTTTTGTAGAAGTACCTGTAAAGAGCCCGCCTTCGTATAGAGAATCTTGTGGCCCCTCAAAGCACACCCTCCACTTGAACAAGTTGTCGTCTTCTAGTCCTACTGAGAAGCCATTCTGCTCGTCTTTTGTCAGCTCCACGAGCTGCTTCGAAAGCAGCTGCTTTGCTATACTGCTGCCCGCCATCTTTGTTTGATGTCGGAGGTGATGTTCCTCTTCTTTCTCTTCTTGCGATAGTCGTCTCGCTTTCGAAGAAGATGTTCTTGAGGTGGATGCGGAGTCAGTACTCCGAGTTGAGGTCCGCGTGCACCAGATGGCAACACCAGAAGACAGCAACTACCACTTCAATGTGTGCCGGACCAAAAGTTTCGCTGCAAGGAATTGATTTCCCAGAATGCGGTTAAGTAATTGTTTTACACATCGATGTGTCGGCACGGCTAAAAATGTTTTCGTACTATACCAGTGAGGTGGACCGTGGATATCGCGCTGTCCTCTTGCCACCTTTTGCTGTAAGGGCGAAAAATACACTTCGCAAATACGTCTTTTTGCTGCTGCACTGCTGCCAACTTCCCGAAGAACGTTCTCGCTTTGGGAATTTCAGGAAACGTTGTAGTTCAAGAACAAGCGAAGCCTGCGAAAAAATCTGACTGCGTCACCGCCAGAATTGCAGGAAGAAGAACGAGTTGTTCCACCCACTGATTCATAAGCACCCTTTTGAACTTAAGTTCGAAGATCATGTCATCAAGAACACCCTAGTAGAAATTATCCGCTTTCGGTGCTGCAATTGCGACGACGGGGACAATCTTTGTCATATATAATATTATGTGGAGGTTTCAATAAACAATGGAGTTCTTGGAGATCTTCCCGTTGTAGTTTCTGATAAGAAATACACGATGGTACCTGCTTTGGCACGACTGCCGTACTGCAGGAGCAGGTGTAATTCTGCTGTAAGTAGAAGGAGAAGTAGTTTCTTCAAAGTTCGGTGGAATCGAGATATTCATGATCGATAGATACCTCGGGAGAACTAAGCAGAAATATTAATCGAAAAAAAGATTGTCACTGTCGCTGGTTGTAATACCTTCATTGAAAACTACATACTTACGTTGAAAGTGAGTATGACGAGTGTCAAAAAAGTTTTTGAAACTACTCGGTCGTGTTGGTAAAAGAAGTAGACCGGTGGACGACAACATCTCATGCACGAACGGAGTGCACATTAGCGACGCAACAAAATTCTTAGCATGCACCACAGAACGGTACCCCAATCAGCGATTTAAGACGGGAACGAGTCGAGTAGACATAGAGTTCTTGTGTGATCAGATCGACTTCGACGTTGTGAACCATCATGTTCTGATCGATATCGAAATCCTACGATCATCATTACCCGTGGTTCGAAATGAACTCGTGGTTCGAAGTGGCCGCAAGTGTATGGGAACAGTAGAAATCGAACACATATTCATACATATTGTCTATGTTGTTGTTGACTCTGTCTCATATGCTGTTGCCGCTCACGAGTTGTTGACAAGGTGCAACTCGCCGGCTAATCGAACTTCTAGGTATCAAAACCAAGCACCATGGTGAATGTAAGTAAGTATGTTCAGAAAAAAATGTCGAAGATGAGTACGAGGAGTATGAAAAACATGACTGTCATCTCGGCTGTCGCGGCAACCGCAGGAAAGAGAATAAAAGTCAAATTATGCGGAAACGAGGACGATTTCCTTGTAGTTCGTTCTTCGACGCGGATCGAACAGTAGTTGTACACACAGGCACAAGGCCTCACGTCATTTTGACGAAGCGTATACATAGGTTTAGGTACGAGAAAGCGAATCTTTGGATAAAAAATGGAGCCCTCCACGAAGCCCCTAAAGATACTAGTCACTAGTCTATCGTTCTAGTTCATCCACTTTCATGTTCATCTGCGTGAACGTGAACGTGAAGGCTGAATTAGAAACAAGGTTCAGCAACACGTGCGACACTGGACTAGCTCAGGTCTGGAGTGGCCTCGTGACCTGGTGCTGGTGGTCGTGGCGGTTGCATGTGCACCACATTATAGCCGGACTCAGAGTCGTGTGTTACCGTTGCTGCCAGCATTGCCGGATCCGCCTTGGGAGGTGGGTGCGGTACGTGGACACTTGGAGCATTACTCGGTGACGAAGGTGCCCCGGCACTTGGATGTTGAACGCTCGGCGCTGGAAGAGGCACTTGGTGTGCCGTGGGTGATGTTCGTGGTTCGTCCGAGGACTGCTGGACGGGCACGGGTCCGCTGGGCGAGGAAGGACTATGGGCTGGGGCAACGAGGTTTCTCGGGACGACCACGAAACTGTCAGCAGCCTGGGAAGCTACTGCAGGTGCAGGCACCTCAAGCGATCCTCCCGCAGAGGAATGGTCGTCGTTACTCGTGTGTGAGCCGAAGTAGGGGGTAGCCGCAGAGGTCGGCTGAGAGGCGTGGTGACGATCGGATGAAGACGGGGCGGTTCCAGATGACGCCGCGGTTGTTAGCGTGTTGGCGGTGGAGGCAGACGACATGCTGTTACTTGAAGAGGAGAACTCGGCTGCGTTACTTCCCGGCGCTGCGTTACTTCCCGGCGCCGAAACTCTGCTACTAGGATCGAAAGCTGGTCGTGGCGCGGACAACGAGGAAGAACCAGGTGTAGCTTGTGCCGGTGGACCAGCAGCTGCAGCATTGTTGCTTGACGCAGTCGCTCCTCTGTTCCTAGGTGATGCCGTGGCCTGCTCTGCGTTTGGCGTGTCTTGCTGCGCTCCAGCTCTACGATTCGGCTCTTGCGACGTCTCGCGACGCCTGGTTACATGCTCTTCAAAAGCCGACTGTTCTTCTTGCATCTGCTTTCTGAAACCTGGACACAAGTTTTCAATATTCTCCCACGTAACACGCCACCACACGGCTGGGTTTTTACTGCCTTCTTTCCCCGCAGGCTCTTTGGCTTCCGACCCGCTGACGTCGAACTTCAAAAGACCGCTCTCCAGCATGACTCGGATCGTGTTTTTTAGAGTTTCTAGACTTAGTTCCGCCAAAACTTCGTCGCGCGTGTCCCGACCAAACTTGTGAAGAACGAGAATCAAGCGCAAAACCATCAACCAACTCTGGTCGAATCGCGGTTGGCTCTGCAGGTGCTTCAGATTCACCAGGAAGAACTTGCTCGCGATATTCAAGGCCAGGGTAAGGAAGTTTTTAGGGGCTTGTTGCGTGCAGATGGAGGTCAAAAACGCAACTAGCTTTTCAACGACGGCGATACCAGTAAATGGCGTATACTGCGCTACCGGCTCGGCCAGGATGGCTTCCTGGACCTCTAGGAGGAGCTTCAGGAGCGTCTGATGCTGCGCCGCGACGGCACTGGCATTCGCATTGCCGCCGCCTTGTGCGGCCTGCTTGATGGCAATCTGAAAGTGCGCCAGGTGCTGACAGAGCGCAATCAAGGTGCGCGACCAGATTTGCGCGAGTAACTCCACGGTGCCTTCGGCAGTTTGCTGAGAGGAAACCCCGTCTCCTGCGCCAACGACGTGAGAGGACAGCATGCGCAGAAGCGCCAACAGAAGACGGCACATGTGCTCGGGACTCTCCGAAGGAATCTCAGCAAGACACTGCGCGTATGGTTGCAGGCCTAGGGTCGGCAAAATCGTTGGGTGGAACAGCAACATCATGGTTTCCACGATTTTCTCCGTTTTCAGACCTTTGGTCTGCATCTCCGCTCCCGGATATCCTGCTCGCAGCAACCGGAAAACGAGAGTAACTTCTTCACTCGACTGAAACAGTGTGTGGATGTCCTCCATGCGCACGCTTGAGAAGTAGCAATGGACCGCGTTGCACGCGACCATCGAAAGCTGCACAAACAGCTTTTTCTCGGTCTCGATGCGCTCAAGGAACTGCGACACGATCTCCGCAACCGCATTTCGGCCCCATAACTCTCTGAACCGAAAAACAGCCACTAGCGCAAGCGCGGCTGTCCGCACACTAATCTTATCCTGCGTTGCAACTGAGGAGGCGCCGGCTGTTTGAACATTTCATTTTCAGAATGAGTGACCGTTGTAGTTAGTTTTTTATTACAATTAGTCTTGGTAAGTAGGCACTTGACGCATTGAAGAAGCTGGAAAGAGTCTAACAAAGCTGAAATACCTCCAGTAGCACCAGTCCCGATAACCGAGCTGCATGCTGCACAGAGAAGTGTTTCAAGTACTGCTTTGCCTGCTGCGCGAAGCTGTGGTATTGGCGCATGAGCAACTTTGGCGCATAAGCGTAGCGCGAACCTCAACACCTCAAATCCATCCCCGATGGCGACGCTCGAGAGCGATGATGGCGGTTGGAACGGTCTTACAACGAGGGCGTCCGAATCCGAAGGAGATCCGCTTGACGGTGCTGGCGGCGAGCCGCTAATGCCCTCAATAGCACCTCCCCCTGACGATGGTGCTGTGACACCACCATTGACAGAGGAGAGCCTTGTAGCGCCAGCTGGACCTGCCGCACTGCCCGGCTGTGATCCGCTTTCTGGTGCTCGTTGAGGCCCAGTGGATGAGCGAAGGGTGTGCAGCATGGCTAGGAAAATGCTCGTTGCCAGAAGGTTGAGCTGCTTCAGGTTTAGCTTTGCTAACACGTTAAACGGGTCACATTTGTGGAACGCTTTTTCGATAATAGGACGCAGCGGATCCTGGATCTTGGCGGCAGCGCCTCCTACTTGAGACTTCCGCACAGGGCCGCGCGCACTATTGGTTGCAGCGGTACCGCTGCCGGGTGCCGACATCGTGCTCGACAGTCGTGGGACCGGCATTCGCTCTGGACTGCTTGGCGGGTAGGCACTGACACCAGCTAGATCAGGAGTTCCTGCAGATGGCGGCACATGCTGAGACACGCCAGTGACTCCACTCTGCGGCACTTCACTTGGCCCTCCGGCAGCGGCTGACGGTCCACTGCTTGGTGGAGCCGCGACTGCAGCGCCGCCACTTCCTGCCGAACCTGTCGAAGAGGACCGCAGCATGTACGCTGTGCTCATTCTGTCTGCAGTCGCACCGCGATCCAAAGTGAAGATGTCTAGATCGCTGTCGTAATGCGGTTCATCCGGATCGCCTGACTTTGCTCCGTCTTGCTCCTCAGCCATGACGCTCAGCATTGCAGTGACTTTCTCGAACATCCATCCCGTGCCGCTCTTCTGCTCTGGGACATGCACAATCGGGAATCGTGCTTTGCCGACACCGAAGAACGTGTCCCACACCGGGTGGTGCACAGGAAGCTCCACAATCGCGCGGATATCGTCCTCTTTGAGTACGTACTGTGTCGGGCCGCCATTCGATTGAAGGGATGCGGATCGCGCTAGCAACTGCTCGCCGTTTCCACTGGTCTGTCCAGCAGCGACCGAAAACGGGGTGTGCAACTGAGGTGTGGATGGAAGCTGCTCGCCGCCTGAACCCGATGGTGCGGCATTCTGTTGGTGCGTCGGTGTCGCCGGTAAAGCGGCGCGAGCGTCTCTGGCAGACACTCCTCCATTCGCGGCTACAGCTCCAGTCTGCTGCATATTGGACGATGCGCGACGACGTGTTGACTGCTGCTGGTTGGCAGAACCTTGATTGTTCGCTCCATTCCCGCCTCCCGAGCCTGCAGCGCCGCCGCTGCTTCCTGCCGGAATGAGCATTGGATCATACAGCGGGATCTGCGGCTCCTCCCAGCAAGAATACAGTGCAAACAGGATACAGATCAGCACGAAACTGCTGTCCTGCACCATTCGATTCGGGTGCAAAGCCACGAAATTGAAGAGCACACGAAGGCACTTAATCGGTCTCTTGTTAAGCGCAAGCAGTTGTTCTGCCGGCGGAGCCTGTTGCGCCGCGGCGGACGAGGCGCCTCCTCCCGCCAAGTCCCCAAAGCTGTTGCGGAAGACTTGAACACCTTCTGAGAAGAGCAGCTGAACACAACTGCTAGGTTTCGCACCTGACAGAAACTCGCTTCGGTCCTCGAGGTCTTCGAGGCGCCATAGATTTTCCACACAGGAGAACGCAGGCGAAGCAGCAAGACGATCCATGTTCAAGACTCGGACCAAAGCCTCAAAGATTTCTCGCCCGCAGTGATTCAGGAAGCCTAAGCGGTGGATGGGACGCAATGCGAACATGTTCGCCGCGTGTGAAAGGAGCATTTTGGGTGCCGACGGACTAAAAACAATCGGCAACGGTCCACCACCGGCAGATGCTCCATTGCCCGCCTCTGCTTGTGAAGGCAGATAGAACCCACTCGCAGCGGTCCCTCCAACCGGACCTTGCAGGTTTGCACGCGACTCGGAGGTGCTCTGTGGGTAGTTCAGCGTGTCCTTCAGAAAAATATGGTTCCAGCGACCCGCCATTAGCTCCGAATCGAAGCCACCCGTTTCCGGCGTTCGGATCTCAGACTCACGGATACGGTTGAAAATGTCTTTCAAAAGCTTCTCGTCAAAGTCCTCGCCCTCATTGCATTTCCGCAGATTCCTAATAAAGTCTTTCTGCTCCATAGGGTGTTTCACTTGTTTGTTGTACTGATCCACATTCAGCATAATCACGGAAAACGCCAAGGTAAAGCACGCGTCCGCAGCGTTGTAATAGCCCTTGAAACTGTGAGGTGGCTTGCTCTCAGCAGCGCTATCGTCCGCCTGTTCCGCATTCGACGCTGTGCCTTCTGCTCTATCAACAGATGCATTTTGTTGATCTCCTGCCGCAACAACTGTGGACGCCTCGGTAGAGGCCACAGACGCGTTCAAATCAGTCGTCCCTGCTGCGGTTGTTTCTTCACCCTCCTCGAGGTGGTTGCGGGCGTAGAAAGTGTGCGAGAAAATCTTCATCAAGCGATCAATCTGTTGCGCCTCTTTCGGAAGACGGAAGGTCTGTAGAAGAATTCGCATCGCCACATCTAAACCCATGTCCGCCATGTCGAACTGCGCACAGAAAACTGCAAAACAATGCGTGGAATCACCGTGATTTCCCCCAAAAAACTCGCCTAACGCTTCAAACGGCATCAAGGGCGAATTCTTGAACAACCAAGCTAGCTTAACAGCCCAAGGCTCGTACTCGGTCGGCAAGTCTTCGGTTTTTGCGTGAGGCGGAGTTGGGACATCTGGCAGAAAAGCAAATACCGGTTCGAAGATCTGCCGTGCCTTCTTCGGCTTTTCCTGAAACTTCTGGATGCAAGACAGCAAAATTTCCCGCCGCCTATCAGTTTCAAGCTGCGTCGGCAGCTCCGCGTGCGCCTTCAGGATATAATACAAACCAAGAACAGCAAACCCGGCAGCGCGAGACCTGAATTAATTTGAATTCAAATTGAATTTGAAATCTATTTATGAGCATACATTTTGCGATCCTATCCGGGAAGATAAAGACAATTACTTATATTTATAAATATATAACCATTCGCTTGCAGTTGCACTTGCACCAGCGTATGATTATATATTAAAAAGTACAATCGCTGTCCCCTTTGTCCTGGCAACGGTCCCTGCACTGTATCAAGCGAGGAGCAAAGCTGCGCGAGAGACTTCGTAAGTTCCAGGCATGATTGCTGTTTGTAGTAGCACGCGTCCGACGCTGAGTGCAGAACCGCTGGTAAACTTGGATTTGCGCTGAACGCCTCCTCCAAGTACTCTAAAAGTACTACTAAAGCTTCCGCACTCAGCAGCGTTCCGGTTCCCACAGAGCCCGGCGCAGGAGCCGGAGCTGCTCCATTTTTCGGGGCCGCTGCAGCAGCTGCGGCGACTGCGACCGCCTTCTGATGATCTTGTAGAATGCGCAGATAACACCCGCTCATCACCGCCTCTACCCACAATGCATTTCCACAAGCCATTCCAATCGCAAGCAGTCTATTCACTAGCGGTAACAAAGCACCCAACACGGCGGCACTGGAGTGGGTGTATAGCGCATTCAGAAGTCCGAGAGGAATCTTCCGCATGTAATCCTCAGTGCCTGGAAGCAAAGCGGTACCACCGGAACTGCGTACGATAGAGCCGTTACTCGGACCAGAACTTGTGGAGGCTGAAAATTGTGTATTTTTAAGTGGATGGATTTATTCCTTAAGAGCTTGTTCTTCATTCATTTCAGGAATTTCAGGGACCATTCAACATCACAACAAAGTTGACGCTGAACGCTAATATCGAGCGCTTTGGGCTGCTTCAAAAAGCAATTGAGGAGCATTCAACAAGGCGAGAAAAAACTTCTGAAAAAACCTTAAGATACAGTAATTCTAAGAAGATTAGTAATTGTACTGTTCCATATAAGTCGAAGTAGTAGTACGTTGCTCTTGCATCTTGAACCAGTAGTATTCGATTCCTGTGCGGATTGCCGCCACAGCGATGGTCAACTTGGCATCGTCGGTTACTGTTTTGTTCTTCAGGAAGGCTAAACCCCATTGCACCTGGTATGGCAGAAAGTCTGGACAGGGGTCTGTAACGATGTCCAGCAAGGCGCGTAAGCTCGCTTGTCGTAGAAGGGGCGTATGGCGTGGCCGCTCCGTCGCATCTGGGTGGAACCGCGATAAAAGACAATCAAACACAAGCTCGCACGCGGCACAACGTGACACTGGATCCGTATGCCTCACTGGATCGACGCAAAGCCGGAAAACTTCTATGGACAAGCCGAGTACTGTCTCGTCGAAGTCCTGAAAAAAAGATGTATGAGGCAGTATATTAATAAATATGAAAGAATGTTGAAAGAACATTTTTCTTTTTGCGCCTGTAAAAATGGCAGTACTTACTTCAATCATCCAGCAAAAGCGATGAAGCCATTGATTAGCTTTCGCTTTGGCGGCAGGAAGATATGTTCACAAAAATATCAATAATTATACCCTCATGGTTTCTTCAAACTTGCACTGTTCGACGCCTTCCGCAACCTGGCGTAATATAGACGCGTCCCAGTTGTGTGTCCGAAGCATATTCAATAACCCCTCTAAGGCTTTCCCCGTTGCAAGGCCGGAGACTTCTTTCGCGCGGACAACCTGTTGTAGTACGAGGATTCCGAAGATGCTCAAAATGAATCCTCCTGTCTACTGAGTCAATTCAAATAAGTACAACTTTCCTGTTTTCAAATTGGAGGTGTTCTCTTCAATTCCACTTTGTAACTGAAGTTGTACAGCTTCAAAATTCTGACAGCTAGATACTACCACAGTCATCTTCACCTTCAGAGTGTAATAAGTTGTACCTGCAAGAACGGATAAAAGAGTTCGGAGTCTGTGAGGTAGTCGCCAGTCGCCAGTTTGTGCCGTAAATGGTTTAACAGCTTGCTGAGACCGTCTGTCTCCTCCCATGGCGGGACTATCAAAGACTGCTGGAAATTTCGGTTCGCGCGCAAGGCAGCGAGCAGGTTCGTCACCTGCAAGCCGCAGAGGGCTCGAACGGACGAAGCACGTTGCTGGAACATGATGCGTGGTTCAGGGACGAGTGAAGGTACTCAAGTGTTGCAACCTGGTAACCGACAATTAATATCGTCCGGCATCTTGCGTCATCTTCTCATTTCCATCTTTACATTCATCATCACACTCTTGATGTAGATGTTGATTGTCTCCACTATTATCGAACGAAAATACCAACGCGGCTCGGACATAGATTAATAATCAAAAATTTTTTTCGACACTTGTTAATGAAGCAGCAACATGATTAAATATGGGCTCAAAGATCTTTTACCAAGAGTTCAATAGAACGATCTACACTTTTCCTCTGCAGCCTGACTTTTTCAATATCGAGGCGACTTTATAGACACTAGCACTCTTTCGAAGCGGCCTTCGTTACACAGAGGGTTCCACTATCAGTAAGCGCTGCGAGCAGCCGGTGCGCCGGTTAAAAGCAGCTACTTAGGAAACGGACACGTGCAAATTTTTTCTCGCGTGACTTTAAGAAAAATGAGATATAAGCCGAGCTACGATCTGTATTTGGATTCGTCTTGCTTGAAAAATTCTCTTTCTGAGTTCGCAAACGCAGGAGTCATCACGTCAACGTCATTGACTATACTTACAGCGTGAAATTTTATTCAATGAGGAGCAGAATGCCAGCCAGTGACGACAGTCTCGTCGTTCGAGGAACCAGTATTCACTGTACAACTTTGTTTTCGATTCAGTTGTTTCTTCATCCTTTGTCCCTAAGCGTGAAGAACAAGAATGTCGACCAAATCATACTATCAACTGAACCTTACTCTTCAACCAAATGGACCCCTGAAGGAAGCAAACGCATCCGATCGGTTAGACCCGGACGAACCAAGCAAGTCAGAGCCCCGCGTTAGATTCCCACGCCCGAAAGCGCCTGCTCCTGCTAGCCCTGGTCTGCTTCCTCCGCCGCGTGTGCGCTGACTGCTACATTAGAAGATGGCGTGAGTAGCATTCCATGATGGTTCTCCCTGCCACAGAATATTTGCGTCCTTTTTCTAAAAATGAGATGAAAGCATGATCTTCCTCTAAATCTAATACTAATATATTATTAAGCTATACTTTTTCATCTTTTTAAAGTGTAAAAACTGTAACGCGCGCGCGCGCGTTACGCGCGCGGGTTACGCGCGCGCGCGCGTTACGCGCGCGCGTTATAACGCGTTACGCGCGCGCGCGTTACGCGCGAAATAAGGCGCGCGCGTTACATG